ATTCTTTTTCTGTAATAATCTTAGTAAGATAAAGCAAGTTCTAGAAATATTTTCAGCTCAATAATGCCTTGCTCTTAATTTTATTTTTAAAAATTTTAAATGCACATGATCTTGATGTTTCAAAGTTTTATACTCAAATTAACAAATCCAAACTTATATCAAACAGTTTCACAATTAATTCCGAGCTAGAATCACTCAAATTAAAGTGCAGCGTCATGGCTTGTATAGCCCAGCGGCTAAATTGTTATCTTACCTCCAGAATAAAGCCTGAGCCATCTTATCATACACATCAAAGGAGTGTGTACCAAAAACGCGTATTCTATTTTGTCCCAAAAATTCTGCCGCTGGAATCTTCTATCAGGCGTATGTCTCTTTATTACATACTCTAGGCCAATATATATTGAGATATATTTCCACTATTTCGTTTAAAGTGACAAAGTACGGGTGGTTGCCAAAACCTTCTGATAAATGAAAAATCATATAATGATTTTTCCGCCTGTAAAATTTCTATAATTGCAATAGTCGTATTTAATCGGAGGAAGGACTATAAATGAATATGTATTCCTATGTTTCGTAGTTTTGCTTTGCAGTTATTGACCCCATCCTAATCCCATTTAGTTGGGATTAGAGCCAATTTCATTTTTTATGCTAAATAAAGGTTATTCTAAAAAATGTCATGCTATCCCAATTGTAATATTGACTGTGGTTTATGCTCCTGTGGTAACCATTAAGAATCAAGAAAAAAGTATTTTCAATAAATTCGTTTTTATCTACTAGGCATTAAAGTATAAAGTAGATGGGCTGCCTTATTTTATAAAGAATTTAGATTTTTAGTAGATGTTTAGATGGAGACATCGCTCGCCCTAAGCAGTTTAAAAAATTAATATTAATAACTATCCAAATTATTTATAGTTTTTTAATTATATTTTAACTTTAAATGCAAAATGTGACTAAAACATTGTTTTTTTTCTATTTCAAGTTAGAGGCCTACTCTGTTAAAGTTGCGCTCAACTTCGCGCATTTACTTGAACGTTCCCCTATACCCATTTCTCCATGCCTTCTTGTCTCTACTATGCTTACCCCGAATGATGTATATGATACTGCATCTTCGATTGGGCAAGATTGTCAGATGCTAATAGATCAGCATGGTCCAGAAATTCTCTCTTCATTAATGCCTAAAGTTGTCAGTATTCTAGAGGAGCTTGAAGAATGTACATCTTGCTTCGAAAAAGAACAAGAGGAAATATCCCGCCTACAATCAGTTATTAAAACTCTCAAAGAAGAAAAGCAATCCAGGATTGATGGTAGAAACACTTATGATAAGGTAGCTTCTATCTTGATATTGTTCAGCGGATAGTAAATATACTCTTATTATTCCTGATTCTGGTATGCTGGAATGCATGTCATGTAGCTATGCCTTTATTTAAAAGGATAGTGTCTTAAAAGTCCTATTTACTAACTTATGCAGGTCGAACTTTATTTGCATTATTTTTGTACTCTTATCCAATTTACGGTCATTGCCACGTGATCGCTTAATTCGGTCATTTTTTCATTCCATTGTATTAAGGGGTTAGAACAACTGGAGCAAAGCTGGTTTACAGAGACGCGTGATCTCCTAGCTAAAGTTAATCTCCTTGAGGAGGAACATAGACGCCTAATTACTCAATTGGCTCAGAGTGGAGGTTTTGCGGTTCCCGAGAGGACCGAGGGCAACAAAAATCTCGAACCTTGTTCTAATGCACCAAAAGTTGTATGCTCATCCTTAAATGAAAATGAATTTAATGCTGCAGAGAAAGAAGTAAAATCCGTTCATTATTCTTCATCTATTCCGAGTAAATAAGGCACAGCTTGCTTGCTAAGTTTCCTCTTTACATTCCATCGTCTTATATTTTGGTTGATGTATTGACTATCATATTTAATGACTATATCAATTTACATCTTCATTTTTTGGGTCTTAGATATAATAGGATATGCTTTATTTTCTTCTTTTGTTAATCAATGTAAGCTTAATATTTTTTTTTCATATCCATTATATAGCTATTATATTAATCTAAGCTAGCAATGATACCTTTTTATTCATGTAGTTCCTGTTTAACTGATTTTTGAGAAAAATTCTGCATGCTTTTACCTTGATCTTACTAAAAGCTCAATGAATAAGGGCTGAATTCATCATAGATCGCATAAACTGATGAAATACTTGTGGTCGAATCTCTCAGCATTGATATGAGTAACCCCATGATGCCATCTAATTTAACTTAGCCTGTCTCTCCAAAATATATCCTTACCATTGGTGGGTTTTAACCTTGTCTGATTCTGACACAGGTAATCAAATGTACAATTTATAGCTGTCACACTGCTACTAATGCTGGTGGGATACTGATGAATGTTGAGACTGATCGGGCCTCTTCTAGACCGAATTTTGCTCTAGTATTGTCGAGTAAGCAATATTTCTACCACATTGCTTATACTCAGTGTTTTGAAACTTCCATTAGTTCTTGAATAAAAGCTGCTTCAAAGCCTACTTAATACTAATGTAAGTGATGTGGTCGTTTTAATAGTGAATACGAGCATGCTTCCTCAACAATCTCACCGCAAAATTTGATACGGAAGAGGCCTGGTTAGTCATGAAATTCGCATATTGTATGTGATAGACTGGCACCCGGGCAGTTTAATTAGTGGTACTTTGCACGGGCCCAATTACCGTTGATATGTTGACGAGACCCAGGGGAGGTCGAAACCTCAGTCCACTCTGGATGGGACTCCCTTTTGA